TGAAATTTTTAATTATTTTCTAATATCTGAACTATTTTTGCATAGACAAAAGTACAAAGCAGTGAAAATCATTAACAGGCAATCGTTCGATTGGCTGAATTGCACAAAATGCATGATCGCATCGGCTAGTCTGGTGCGCATTGCTATTTATTCGCATTGCATTGCTGCAAAAAACGCATAAAAATGATGCCAACTGGGACGACACCATATTAGTACGGTACTTCTGCTGGGCAAAGCTGAAAATCCGATAGCGTGCAGATTTTGCGAGCAATTTTGTGAAGGTCATTTGACTTGGTGATCTGCCATTTCCCGGTGATCATTGTTGATTTCTATGCGCGAACATCTTGTATATAATAAACGTGTATGATCAGTATCAAGGATTCTTTTTTCGTTCTGTTCTCGTCAGTGTGTCAACAAAGCTTTTGTCATGTCATCGGTGTCTCAGTGCAGTTCAACCGAGAAGAAGCGGTATCAGAGGAGTACAAGCGGGCCGCGAGGAGTCTCGTCTTGGTGCAGCGCTAGGCGAGGCGCGCCCAACACTTCCTTTCTTTCCAAAAATGGCGGCGTTCCTGCCAATTTCACAAATTATTTTAATCATCTGAGGAAAAGTCCAAGCTGCCTTTATTTTCCGAAACAGTATTATTTGTAATAAAACACATCCTAGTTTGTAAATGCACAAACAGGATATCAGAAAAAAAGAAAAATGACTTGCCTGTCTCCAAAATAATTTTTAGGATTCAAGGCGATGATTTTAAATACTGCTTCAAGTGCAAAAACTCCCGTAAAAATGAGATTGAGCACATCGAGGACATGGTCCATGCCGGGGTCCGGAGGATAATGCTTCATCGCCAGTGTGGTCGTGTTTAGCAGTATTATTATAAATATGACGTATTCAAAGAACTGAGATGTTACGAACCACCAAACACGGTACTGGAATCGATTGCGAGGTATATAGCGTCGGTGTGGCTTCGCTTTTAGCGCAAATTCAATACATTTACGCTGCAAATTTGTGATGCTTGATAACAGTGGAAATAATTTACTGTGGCGATGCTTCAGAAGTTGCCCAGCGAAAGGAAGGAGTAATTTTTGCCCGGAGGATATCGATAACTCCTTTCATAGAGCTTTGACGTAAGCTTAAAATGATTACTGTCACTGATAAGCTCTTATACGCCAGAACCAGCCTACTGTGGAAAAGAGTCACCCAATCTCAGGCAGTGTATCTGCTCGACAACAGAATTGGAAC